GCCCACAACTCAGAGAAGGGGCACCACAGGAATGCCAAAGAAATCTGGTCATGGAAAAATATTTGGCAAGTAGGCCGGATTGAGGGCATATTCAGATATAGAGCATTGTTTGGGATCATTAGCTATAGGTTATTTTGCCAAGATATGTGAAAATCCCTTGATCTCTATAAGTAAATATTAAAATACCAGTTTCTATAGTTTTTTTTAATTGTCAGAATGAATGCGTAATCACCAGAGAGAGAGATATCATCTCTTGATGAGACATGATCATACTGCAACCCCTTCTCTATTTCTCCACCCTGTCGGGATTTGGAGCACATGTGGACACACACCTGGCATGTTTCTCAAGTCACTGGGGTTGCGATTCAACTCTGATTGGCTCTGTGTGACCCAGACCACTTCATTGCTAGGCTATAGGGCTGACCCATAGCTTCTTCAGTCCATAAATAATAGATACCCACAATACAAATATGTTCAATGTGCTATCCCCTGCTTTGGGAAATACCCCTGGAAAGGTGTCATTTTGACTTACAGCTAGATTCTGTACTTTTATTCAAAGTACCTACTGCCTCTAAAATGCTTACAGTCTTTAAAACTATCTCATGATACAGCAAATCCACTCCTGGGTATCTACCCAAAGGACAGGAGGACACTCAGTTGGAAAAGCGCTCGCACATATATATTCATTACAGCCTTATTCACGGTAGCTGAGACATGGAACCAACCCAAATGTCCACAAACAGATGACTGGATTGAAAAATTGTGGCACATATACTCCATGGAATACTATTTAGCCATAAAAAAATCAAAGCCCTGGAATTTGATAGAAAGTGGACGAATATGGAAGATTTGTTGCTGAGTGAAGCAAGTCAGGCTATGAAAGAGAGACATCGCATGTCTCCACTTAACATATACCAACTGTCTGCACTCTATGGTAGAGATTGAAACCCTGGAGAACATAAAAGTATTAAAAATTGTAATGGACACTAGAGACAAAATGGAAAGA